TTTTTTTTGTAGCCCCCACTTCACCGCCCTGTAATTTGTCAAATTTATCATTTTTTTTTTTTTAGTTTTTTTTTTATATTCTTGAAATGTCAATAAACATCATATAAAAAAACGGATTATAAAAATGTTTTTCATTTTTTTTTATGTTAGTTTGAAAAATGCCTAAAATTTAGGCTTCTACACCAGAATACCCCCTTAATATAATTTATTACTATGTTCTAGGGACTAGCCATGCAGAGGACTTGATGTATATATTCAACACAAAATTATTAGCAGCGCTTGGAATAAAACTACCGAGTTCTTATCCAACAGAGAGTCTCATTCAAAAAAGATTTATAGATTTGTGGACTAACTTTGCCAAAACAGGGTATTTATTCTTTTTATCCACTAAAAAATTATTTTTTTGTTTTTTATTAATATAAAATTTAATTTTATAATATAACTAGCTGATGACAAACCGTTTCATTGGGTTTTTTGTTGGGTTTGTTACACTGAAAAATAATTTTTTGATTAGAGGGAAAATTTTCTTGGCTCAAGAAAATATTAAGGAAGATTGAAAATTTCTTGAATGAAGTCAAAATTTCTTGAGCCAAAAAAATTTCTTCTTACCCCAAAATAACTTTTGTCTTCCTTAAAATTTTCTTGGTGCGAGAAGTTTTTTTTTTCTGTGTACAATTTTATGAATTTAACCCAGTGACACGACATATATTTCTTAGTGTCTTGCACTATAACGATACCCCATAGGTTGAAGGTTGTTGCAAAAGAGAAAATCTAATAGCGCGAGCACTAATGAGATTACTAATTATAGAAAAAAAAACGCATAAAAATAGTTTTGGATTTTAATTCTTACTTACACGTGTTTATTAACTCAACTTGTGTGTATCGATGTAACTATGAATTTATATGACGGAATTTTTCAATGTCATATTTTCCGAATATAAGAATTCTGATTAATTTAAAAATTCGTACACGTAATATAATATGATGATATAAAATAAAATAATAATATAATATATATATTTTATAATAATATAAAATAAAATAAAATAAAATATTTAATTTGTTTATTAAATAATATATATTGCTTAATAAATGTTCCAATTGACGTGCTAATGATCTAATTGAATAACTCTGTTACAGAAATCCAGTTACTGAAACGTCAGATTTGATATCTGTCAAGTGGCAACCTGTTGACGATTCAAAAGAGTACAACTGCTTAAAAATCAGTAAAGAACTCAGTATGATAAAAGAGACTAATATTTTGCGGCAAATAGTAGAAACTATTCAACAAAATGAATCTACTTGTTTATAAGCCTAGTTTACAATAAACAATGAGCATATATTACTATTTTCTTTGTTTTATTTTTCATTAACAAAAGAGGGGTCAAGACAAAAATAAACCCCACTACGTCTTTACGTTTTTATAATAAATAAAACGGTATCAAAATATATTTTTGACGCTAAATTATTGACTATAGGCATAGTTGTTTACTAACAACGTATAAAAATTCCACTTCACACCTGGACATTGAGTAAGATGTTTTTTTGAACGTTAGATTTATTCACTATGAGATGAGCGAGATAGCTTGATCTCTTCCTAATTACGTATTTTTGTGACCTTCAAACACCAGATACAAATTATTTCCATCTACTTCGGACAAATTTATGAGTATTTTATTTTTATAGTCAATATCTACTTGTGCGAGTAATAACAATAAATCAAGTCTAAATTCGACTAATAACGAAAAAATAATAAGTAAAAAGCGCTTACATTTTAATTATAAAGTATATTTTGTCGAGTTTAACGTACATGCAATCTAAATAAATAAATAATCAAATTTAAAGTCATACTCGTAAGATGCCATTGATGAAGCGCTGATGTAATAATTAATCGGGTGCGCATTTAATCGACTCATTTATTCCTGAAATTAAATTATTATCAATGTTATTTATTAGTAATAAACAAAATAATAATCGATTAGTCACTTTAACTTACAGGAGATTTCTGTATTATTTCAAGTAGAAATATGTGAATGAAATGCACTTGATGAATATTCATATTCCTTCTTTGTGTGGTCACGGTAAAGTAAAATTGCATCTGGCTCACAGTTCGCAAAACTTCTAACACTATCTATCGGTTCAAAAAATTTATTGAAGTAAAGTGTAATCTTTTGTAATTGTATATCCCCATTCTGTAAAAATTTATTAATAAATCATTAATAATGAAATTCAGTATGCGAAGCGAATTTTGAGCTAAAAATAATGAAACATTATTTTATCTTACATTATCAAAACATTCAACTTTTGGTTTTTTGTTTCCTATACCCTTTGAAACAGCGTCAGATATTGCTTGAGCAGTGTAATTATTATTGGGCAAAATGTTATTTTCACGCAAAATTTGATTCATGTTATACTTATCAAACAACTCAAGAGACTTGTGGAAATATTCCAATTCATCGGCACAAATTCCATCGTTTCTCCATTTTAAGTGCAAATTTTCAATAGGTCCAGGTCGTGTATAGCCTTCAAGACCCCATTTTTTCGTCAATGTTTCACTAATTGGTGATATGTCTTTATGAAATTGATCATAGTTGTTGCGGCATAAATAGGTTTTGTTTTGGACCCAGTATTTGAATTCTTCAATGTACCAAGAATCGATGGTTGACAAATCGCACACTTCATTTTTATAACAAATGTATGGTTTTAATCGTTGTACAAAGATATGGGAAACATCATTTTTTGAACTGAAAATTATAGAAATTATTATTAATAATAGTTATAATTATTCAACTATTGAATAAATCAATTTTATATACCTTTCAGCGACTGATACCACAACAGCAATTGTAGAAATGAAGATGATGTTTTTTATGAAGTTCATTCTTACTTATATCAAACTGCAATAATCCATAATATGAATTTAAAGATCTTTATATAGTATCTGATAGGTAGTTGACCTCTTAATATCAGAAATCTTTGGAAGGGATTGCCGTGTAATAGAGTCGAAGATAATCATGAATTAATTATGGAGATGAAGCCTTGTATCGGTAAATAAACAAGATTCACAAGTGAATGACCTAATCTCAGTGTATCGTCATATATAGGTTCAGATGTTTTATAATATTTAAATATTCTCAGTTAAATAATTCATTAATACTTGATACTTAATACTTCTTGGCTGACCTCTTCTGTCTGATCAAGGTTAAATACCTTGTAAAAGAGTGAGAAAGTTTCAACTTATTATTTGCTAAGTGATTGCTTATTATATATATTTTTTAAATACAGATGATATAAAAATATTTTTCTTAAAATCGCATTTGTATTCTAGCATTTCAAAGATTAATCGTAAAGCGTTTAAAGTTGTTTGTGCATTACTTGTTAAGCAATTTTACACGCCTTGTAACGCGCAGGGGTTGACCTTGTGATTTATTCCCTATACGTCAAGGTCAAGCAACTTCCAATTTAAAAAAAATTTTTATTCTCTATATTTAGAAAAAAATATTTTCAATAATTTTGTTTTTCTAATCACTGAATCTTCATATTACTTTAATGAAAAACTTCTTAAAAAATTAATTAAAAAAAATTAAATTTATCTCAATACATGTAGTACTAAAACGGTAAGAAATATTTTACGGATATCGCTATGCGAGTATGGTTGTAAACCACCATACTGTATGGTATCCAAGATTTTTGTATTCTTTTTTATAATTACACAGAAAAAAAAGTTCACTTGAGCCAAGAAAATATTTTTCTTCCTAATTATTTTCTTGAGCGAAAAAAAAAATTTTTTTTTGACACAAGAATTTTCACTTATTTCAACAAAATCAATTCTCTTGTTTTAAGAAATACGTATCTTAATTCAAGAAAATTTACTTAAGTCAAGAAAATCTTGTTGTTTTGGAGAAAATTCAGCCTCTTGCTCCCAAAAATTTAGTTTTTAATAGAAGTAAATTTTCTTGTCTTGAGAAAATTTTTCTCTTGCTCCAAAAAATTATATATCTTGATAGAAGTAAATTTTCATTAATATTTTTATTGATTAATATGTTAAATGGGAAGATCAAATAATATTGAATCATTTTTTTCATTCAATGCGTATAATTGCACGCTAAAATAATATAAAAGGTGAAAAAATTTTTTTCTCAGCTGAAGTCGATGGCGCTGTTTCCCTAAAGTATTCAAAAATCTTGATCAAATATAAAAATTTATTGTATCAAGTATTTATGATAATTTAAATTAAGAAAAAATTACTTCCACCAAGAATATAGAATTTAAAGAAAAATTTTTACACAACTTCGATCTTCCTTTAGGCACCCGAAAATTTTCTTGAGCCAAGAATTTTGTTCTCTGGTCAAGAAATTTTTATTTCTGTGTCGATTGTTGTCTTTTCTTTCTGTTTTAATTTTTTAACAATTCCGCATCATTTATAAGTCTTATATCAGGACAAGATTTAAAGTATTTACCCTCGTGTTTTTTGTTTTGTTCTTTCCCAGATAGCAATATGACGTCTTTTACAGTTCTCAGAGAACTCTTATTTAAGATTTAGACGTCAGAATTTTGATCAAAATGAGGTCTCCAAGACGTTTTGAGGACGTCCAATGCGCCACCTAAAGAGTGAATCAGGACTTCATAGAGAGAGTTCTTAAAGAGCTCTTTTTTCTGACTTCAAAAAAAGAGTTCTTCAAGAAGTCAGATTTAAGAGCCCTTTCTGACTCCAGAATAAAATAGTTTATAGAGGAGACATTTTCAGTTTTAATTGTATTGTAATTAATATTAAAAAAGAGCTGCTTAAATTGAAGACAATCAAGTACATTAAAATATATTTTCTTCGAAATAAAAAAAAAATGGTGTCGCTCGCAGCTTAGAATATGAATTTACTAGCGGTCACCCATCCAAGTATTTATCATGACCAATGCGTCTTAACTTCAGTGATGTGGTGTCCTCTGGTCTGCCTTGGCTAGCTGTTCCTAATGAGATAGTAAATTTTTTTTCTCTACATAAGCTCTTATGTTCAGATAAGATTATAAACGACTTATAGCAACGGTAAAAAACTTGATATCAACTTTTCTACCCAAAGATAAAAAAAAATACTTTTCGATTTAATTTTTAATAAGTAGAATTACTGAACGTTTTGCTATGTACGAAAATATTTTTATAATACAAAAATAAATACACAGCGAAATGAGTTCATTCGAATGCGATTATTTTTATTTTTTTATTATTTTAAAAATTCTTTAATAACGTGAAAAAAATTTTTTTAAGTCCCATATTTTGACGAAGTACAAAATCAGAAAAAAAAAACCTATTCAAGAGCTCCTATTCTTGATGTCTTACGAAGTCAGAAAAAAAGAACTCTTAAAGAGCTCATATTTCTGATGTCTTGGAAAGTCCAAAAAAAGACCTCTTAAACAGCTCATTTTTATGACCTCTTACGAAGTCGGAAAAAAGACTTCTCAAAGAGCTCATATCTGTGATGTCTTATAGAACTTAAAAAAAAACTTCTTAAAGACTTCTTAATTAAGAGTTCCGAAAAATGAGGTCTTTAAGACATCATAATTGGAGTTCTCATGGAAGTCTTTGAAAAGACATCTTTAAGAAATCCTTCTGACTTGGATGTTGTCTGGGATAACGAAAAAATTTTCTAAGCCTCTGAGACGAAAAAAAAGAAATTAAAAAAAGAAATTAAAAGTTCTTCTTCATGCCATTTTTAGCCAAAATTTTTTGTCAGAAAACCTAAAAACTATAATCATAAAGTTTTAAAGCTTTAAAATGCATTTTTTTAGATTTGCACTACGATAATTTTTCACTGAGATACAGCAGGTCAAAAATCGGGAAAAATTCAGACTTCTTTGTGGGTACTATGCATAGAAAATAATTTATTGCAACTTCTAAATGATCAAGGTTTTTTCTCACTATTAAGTTTTTCATTTCCCATTATAGATATAATAAATATTGAAAAATACAACAAATTTTAAAAAAAATTTGCCTTATAAGTTCACCCTAATACTCATCAGATCAAGAGTGAGTTTTTTTAGCAAAATTGTTCGCAAGAATTTGATTTTGTCAAAGCCGATACTTATTTTGTGAAAAAATTATTTTCTACTTTTTTTAAGAAGTACCCCGTTTTGCCCACAAAAATAAAAAATCTTTTTCTAAACGGCAGTTTAAAATTAGTGCTATTTATTTTGAATAGAATTAAAATGAAGATGATTTATAATATTTGGGTCCCCAAAAACTGACGTCAGATGAAAGTCATGTGTTATCTGGGAAAAGAATAACCTAGGATCCTTATGATAGTGATTGATGACACAGCCT